CACTGACTGTTCATCAGGTGGATGCAAAAATGCGTGCTCATATCGAAAAAAGGGCCTAAAGTGTACCGTGGCATGTGGACAGTGTAATCGTGTTACCTGTTTTAACAAGATAATCGAGGTATATAGGCGAATGACATCTCTAAACATGCAGATAAGAAGTATCTAAGAGCAGAAATTCCAGGGATATCTAAAATAATTATTTTGATACATTTATCACGCACGTATAATATTAATTCTATTAACTCATACAAATTAATGTTTTAAATTAGAAATAAAGTACCTACTTGTACTCCACTGGTATGCTTTTTATTTCTAATTTATTGCCGTAAGAATATTTCAAATGTATTTGCCAAAATATCCCTATGGATTTGTTAGATATTTTTAATATAAAAATCCAATAAGTAATGGCCAGAGAGAATTTTTACAAAATATCCAGTTATTAAAACTATCATAACTCCGCCACTGGTAAAGCAAAATAGAACTGCTAAACGTGATTTTATGGGAATTTCATGATCTTCAATTTTTCTCTCTTCATATTTTTTTGTTAATAGCTTTGTTCTTAAGATATTGCCAAAAAACTTTAAAATGTCCGATTTTCACCCCTTTAAGGGGTTGTTTAGGGGTGACAGGCACGGCCGATTACCAGTGGAGTTTGGTGGTATTTTAAGGACCCCAATATAAACTTGTATACCAAATTTCAACTTGTCTCTAATTTGTTCAAGGTTTGACTGGATCGACCCTGGGCTAGAAGCTGAATTTCCACATTTACTTCTTGATATTACCAAGAATGCTTGACAAGGATCTTTTCAATTATTTTTCTAGGTTTTTCTCAAAAGATCCTCTACTACGTAGTAGAAAGCTTTTACGCTATTTTCCGGACACCCTGTATTTATGGTTTTTATTTTCATATTATACCGGTAGTCCAGACGGCCACAGTGAAAAAGCAGTTATTTAAAGAGTGAAAAATCACAGTAATGAGCAACCGTGATATTTGAAAAAACATTAAAGTCAAATAAGAAAAAATATATCGGAAAAAAACAATTTTTGAAGAAAGAATCACCCTGTATTTTTTTGTGAATGAAAGGGATGCTTTCAATATACTTCACTTCAGATCTAACTTCCAGTTTAGCCGAAAGTTCTCATGTTTTGAACAGTTTTTTAAATTGATCTCACTACTGGCTAAACCGAAAGTGGAATCCGAAAATAAAGTAGGTATGTGGTATGTAGAAATGATCCCATTAATTGTTAGTATTAAAATTTACAGAAAAATGCGGGGTGATTTTCAAAAACTTTCTAATCGACATTTATTTGACGTTCAATTTTTTTCTGAATTCATATTCAAATAGCCCATAATAATCCAATAATAAAGCTATTTTAATTGTAATCTCGAGACGCGAGACTACACGAGACTCTCGCCGAGTCTGGTCTCGTCTCGTCGAAACTTCACGAGACGAGACCAAAAGCCAGTCTCGTCTCGATAAGTAGAGACGAGACGAGACCAGTCTCGAGTCTCGCGGCATCACTTGGGTTTCTAATGGATGGCAGCGCTGTTCTTCTAGTTGGGCTGTTCATCAATAAGGGGCCGTTAATTTTGTTTTATCGGATGGAAAAAAATGCCCATAACTTGAACACAATACCTACATATTCTTGTGATTGTTACCTTATGTTCCATTCTCGTACAATAAAAATTAAAAGTACCTACCTATACTACGACGTCGGTTTTAATACCACTAATATCACAAGGCCTCTAGAATATTTACCATTTCATTGTTTTTTTAATTATAAACTACGACATCTATATTTCACACACAAGGATCCACAAGCTACACTACACATAAACAACATTTAATAGAATGTTCAGATTAAACACAGAGAATACCAATAAACCATAGATCAATAAATTCATTGATGCTCGGCTCGAATACTTTATAGCAGTCAACTCAAATTATCATTTAATGAATCAAATATGGCCTACGAAAAATACAACCAACGCCAATTTCAAAGTGTCTTATTATTAAGGCGACTTTGACTATTTTGTCAAAAGTGTCTACAGGAACGGTTAATAGAAATTTTCCTAATCATATTCGAATACTTTGTGCATCAAACTGATCTTACCACAGTTTCCTCGTTGATCCATTTTGACTTTGTATGTACTACATTATGTTTAAAATCACTTTTTTCTGTATATTTTGGTCTTTTGAAATTATTCAGAACTCGCATGGCGTGGTTTTAAAGCTTAGCTCAAAAATTATATTTCTGATATTTGAAGCAGGTAAAACAAATATAGGTAATCAGTAAATACTTCAATATTTAACCAAATATTTCTGAATTTATTCCTGCCAGCCCTATTTGATTGTTTCTTCATCATCATTTATCTAGACAAAGGCTGATAGATGGGGAAGTAGGTTAATTAATTTTGCTAAGTCGGTCTCGGATATGAGTAATGTATTGAGATCGATAAATTAAAAAAATATTTTCACATAAAAACGCTTCTTTATGCCCTAACATGCAACTGCATTAACGCAGTAAACGTCAAACTATTACTAAATAGTTTCTCAGTTATTGCGTTAAAATGCGCCTGAAGCCAGTAAATGTTAATGTCTGATTGGCGCTTCCTTCTCTTTCTCTCTGTCTGTCTGTTCTCCTGTACTGCGTGCATCGATGCATGACGATGCGCACACCTGCAACCCACACGCAATCGTCTGTGACGGCGCATCCCAATTGGACCCCGATTTCGATGGTGATGATTGATGCCTTCACAGAGGACTATCACGGGTCGAACACGGTTTTTCTCGTGGGTACTCTGATGTCGGTGGTAGGGGGGGTGTTCATTGTATTCGCCACGATGGCCCTCTGCTACAGGTCAGTCGTAGTGCATAACAACTTCTCGCTCTGTCTCAGGTTAGTGAGCAGATTTTAATCCCACCCAGGTAGCAGAACATTCCAGATCGTTTTTTTCAGCATTTTTTAAGCCGCTTTTTGTGAGATTTGCGCACCCATACAGCACGGTGAACACACCATTTTTCAAACACTCAAGATAAAATTAACTTCTTTCCAGTTTAGGCGCTGGTGTGAAAAAGATAACATGCGAAACTAAAAATACGTACGACTTAAAGTATTGGCCAGTAGATATTTTTGGTTTCGCGTTTACGTTTTTCTGCACAAGATTATTATAAAATAATATTCAGTGACTAGATTACGGATAAAAGTTTTATTGATGAAAAATTACTACTAAACCTTGCTGTATTTATTTCTATGCTACTTTTGCTGCCTTATTGGCCGTGTATTGCAATTTATTCTTCTATATTTTTATGCATAGTCAAATTTTTAGTCTTTCTCTGTACATTTGTAAAATTGTTAATGTTAAAATGTTCACTGTCTCTATTCTTTTCACTTTGCATCTTTTAAAGGGGAGGGTTTCCCATTGCACAGTATTCATTTATAATCAAGAAAAATGCAAGTTTAAATAATATCTTTTCTAGAAATAATAATCAAAATGGGTGAAATGTATACCCTGGAGAACCGGAAATAAATAAGGTAGCATACAACAACTATACATTGCGTTCCTAAATTTTTTGTTAAAATATAATTGCAGTGCGTTATTTCCAACAAATTCAAATTGAATATAGGTACGCACTTCGAAATGACTTTGCCTGGAGGGACTTGAGATAACGTAATTTACTTGGTATGGATTTTTGACATAATATTTAGGAACACTCTCTGGTCAAAAATCATTAATATTATTTGATATATTTGACTTATTTTTAGCGTGTCATGGTGATTGGTGGTAAAGAACGATCATTTCCTCCTAAACAATAATTTAGAAAAAAATACCAATAGATTCCCAGAATCGTAACTAAAAAATAGATAAAATAATAGAATAACAATCACTTACTCAAAATTTAGCGCACAAAAAATCACTTTAGTAAGGAATGACTGACCCTCAATAGTATCTGAATCACTTTTGATAAAATCCCTCGAAATATAATAGAAGAAACAACCCCCTCCCACCGTTTTTTCAAGAGGAATGTGCGGTAATATTCTAAAATCTTCCTAAATATACCTGTATCTTTATTAAGATAAAGTTGATCGGTACTTTCTTAGGGTTTTTTAAAGATACAGACATAATAATTATTGCATGATAGCTCAGAAAAAGTTTTGTATGTTTACTTCACTAATACAAACTGATTCCAGATATACCTATTCTATTTATTTTAAAGGAAGTAACCAAATTAAAACTTGCACGATCTGCAAAGCTATGTATATGTTTGCATAAATTATTCTTTCATTTTGTCTGTCTGTCATTAGTCAATGCCTTGAATGCGTGTCCGAATGTTTGGCCCTATCTTTATCCTCCTCTATTTTTTTTTGTGTAATATATTTTCGACCTTTTTAAAAATATTACGCACGTACACATGTAAAATACCTACAAAATTACACAACCAATGTAAGTAAACAATAGTATTGTTGCACTTCGAATAGTCACATGTTTGATATATGGAGTTTCAAATTCTTGAAAATATGGTTATACTTGGAAGAATTTTTCAACCTTGTTTATATTTAATCAAACCTCCGAGCTGGTTTGGAATAGGCTTTTATGTGAGCGATTTTTTTGGATTATAGCTGTAAATACAAGTCAAAATTTCAGACAGGATGCAATAAATTATTTTGTTAAAAACCATGTGACAATTCTAAATGCTCAGCTTTAAAAAGGACTTTGTAAACCATCAGACTTTATATTTCAACTCAAAAGGCCCAAAACTCATCTCTTTTATTTTAAAAATTGTGACAGTCAAATTAGGGAACTTCCTGATGTTTAAATTACCCAGGGCAGATTTTTTTTTGCAAGGTCCTTTTTCAAATTATAATGTACCCACCTATAAAAAACACTACACACAAAAGGACACACGCCGAGAGTCAAATCAAAAATGACAATTCCTAACTCTTTTTCCTTTCAATTCGCGTGTCTCGATTTCCACCTACCTACCAAACAATTGAAGGAAGACCACCGTGAGTAAATACGAGAGGGCGTACAAAAAGCCGATACCCAAAAAGTACCTAAACCACTCCCAAGAGGATAGTATGGACAGCACTAGGGGCATCCCAATGCTACCCATGGGGCCCGGAGACACTATGAGCTCGTTGGGGTGAGTTAATTTGATGACAGGACAACACCTTATTTTATATTGAATGCACCCTTTTAAATTTAATAAGTACTCACAGGTAGGGTTTGGCGATTGGCAAATTGGTTTTGGCATTAGCAAAGAATTTCGGTCAGAAAATAATGTTTCTCATCAAAATTTCACAGGATCTTTACACCATGTTTCTCTATAAACGGAACCAATTTTTCAACCAACATATAGTTTTTGAAAATAAGAAAAACATTTTAACAATCTTTATTTCCAAACAAGTTAGTATTTGTTATAAGTTCATTTATTTTTTACATAGAACAGAAATGTTTTGAAAACAAATTTAACCAGTCTAAGCATAAATATATTTTCCTTTCATTTTTCTCGTAACTTCAGATTCCACTTCATAAATCCCGTCGAGCGTGAATGCAGGCACGAATGAACTTCTTTTTTAAGTGCGCGCTTTGTAAATGCAGTTTTCTTTATTGTCCCCTACTCTATCATTGGTAAAAAACAAGTTTTATAGTGCGTCATCTAAATGCATTTTATTTTTAAGACTTGTGTGTTAGAAAAATAGGTCTAGATTTTTTTTTTGTTATGTTTTGTTCAAGAATTAATAGTGCGTAGCAAATTTAATTGACTTTTTTTTTGCATAATGGTGCGTGATTTTTAGTAGCCTGCAGCTGTAGAAACAAAAATGCGATACGAAATAAGTACCTACATATACTGGGCATTCAAAATTATTACCGGAATTAGGTCAGATCATTTTATGGTAAATCCAAACTAGAACATTAAAATTTAGTTTTGGATTCACCTTTATTTTATGATAAACTAATTTACTTTATTTTTAGTCGACATGATTCACAACGGGTGCTGTTTCGTCCAGCCAACCACATGCCATCAGTATCAGGTCCATCCTATCAGTGAGTACCTACCCAAAAATCATCATAGCATATACACGAAGGAATAGGCAACATGAGTAGTATTCTTTAAATAATCTTATCTTTGGTCCCTACTTAGTGACACTTTGTAAGGGGTAGTTTTCGCTTGCTATCGCTCTTTCCGTCTTCTTCTCTCGCCATATATGAGATAAGGACATGCGGGTGGAGATAGCGATGTCGATCGCTATTCGCTATAGTTTTTGATTAGTAAAAGAGCAAAATAATTATTATACAAAGTGTACCTAACGAATGAAAATTGAGGAGTGGTTCTTTACATTTTTAACATACTGATTTTTCCTAGGGATCACAAGATGCAACAGCTCAAGCGCATGGGTGTTGGCAGCGAGGACATTGAAGATATTGGAGGTATGAGCATTTAATGAATTGCTGTTAAATCTAGTTCATTTGGTGTCTGTAAGGAAAATGTTTCCCCTCTGAAACTAATTTATAGCTTAAGCATGATAAACTCAATAGAAATTATTCAGAAAAGTAATTTGTTGTTGTGTGAACTTGCAATTCGGACTACTAGAAGATCGATTTTAGACAGCTGTGCATGAAATTATTGTTGCTTATTATGTGTTGGCATGTTTAGACTCGTTTCATTATAAAGTATTGGATATATCGAAATTCAGACAGAAATGTTGGTTCCGTTTCGCTCATTTGTATATACCCCATCCCTCTGGAGCGTTTGACTGAATTTCACGTTCACACAACAATTCCGTTTAGTAAAAAAACAATTTTTACGCCAAAATCGTTCTTCTTCAGGTGATGAAGAAAGACTTACGACCTCTTTCATCGAAATGCCGAATAATCATAAAATTCCCGAGAAAAAGGGCATCCTAAAAAAGCATGACTACAGCATGCTCGATGGTCAAGAGGGGTGGGGCGACGGCGGCATACAGGCCGAAGATATATTACGAGCGGCGGAACATAATATGCAAAGCCTCATGGGTAGTAAGTTGTTATTGACTAGTTGATGTTTGTTTCAAAATTAATATTTTCCTATGTCCGTTTAGCGATGTGTATTATTTTTTAACCGATTCTTATATTTTCTTGAATATAAATAAGAAGAAAGAAATAAGACAATTTAAAAATCATTCTTCAAATTATTAGGCTCTAGTGCAAATGTGGAACGCACACTCAAAACTTTGAACGGTTACCACGACGACATTTTGGAAGCTCTGCGCAAAGCAGCTGTACAAAGAGGCATTTCCACCCCATCTGGCAGTACTACAGCTTTAAGCGAAGAACTATTGCGAAGAAGCATAAAGCAATGCCAGGAAAGCTACGAGTACCAGGGTAGAAGTAGTGGCAGGGGTAGTAAGGAAAACATTTGCGGTGAATCACAGGCAAGAGCGCTTTTTGGGTTTTAAAAACCCCTATTTATTACTTGTGAAATTTTGCAGGTGCACAAAGTAGTAATAGAACACGAAGAAGAAGACGATGAAGGGCCTCCGGCTGTTGGAACGTTAAGAATACGAAATTTAGAAGATTTAATCAGGCAGCTGGAACATCATTCTAGGCATATGAGCCCCAGCGGATCTGAAGATATTCGAATGTCCGAAACTGAAGCTGATCGGCATTATCGGCAAGAATCGTCTTCGGGTAAGAGTTGCTTTAAATTTTTACTCCAGAGCTTGAATTACGAAGGTGAAGCTTTACTACAAAATTGGTGATGCCGCGAGACTCGAGACTGGTCTCGTCTCGACTTTTCGAGACGAGGCTGGCTTTTGGTCTCGTCTCGTATAGTATCGACGAGACGAGACCAGACTCGGCGAGAGTCTCGAGATTATAATCAAAATTTTTCTTTCATAGGTTTATTATTGGATTATTTTCGGCTACTCGAATATACAATCATGAAAAAATTGAACGTCAAATAAAAAAAAAATTATTTCGATAAAAATGTTTTTGAAAAAATAATCACCGTGCATTTTTTTGTAAATTTCAATACTAACAATTAATGGGATGATTTCTACATACCTACTTTATTTTCGGATTCTACTTGCAGTTTAGTCAGTAGTGAGATGGCAGTTTGGTCTACCGTTATAATAAAAAATATTAATCATAAATACAGGGTATCCGGGAAATAGCGTAGAGGATCCCCCATACCGGCGCGATATGGCGGTAGCGGTAGCGATATGTCCATTTACCGCTGCAAGCATATCGCTACCGCTACCGCCATATCGCGCCGGTGGTGTGTAGGATCCTTAAAAGCTCTCCTCTACATAGTAGGGGATCCTTTGAGAAACCCTGGAAAAATAATTTAAAAAAAAATCCTTCTCGAGCATTCTTGGTAATATGAAGCGGTGAATGTGGAAATTCAACTTCCTTATTTTTGTTTTTTTTTTTTTTTTTCAAATTGCAATATATCGTACGTTGTTAAGTACCTATCTTTTCTTGATTCATAACATGGTTGGTTGAGGTTCAGAATGAACAGGCCGGGTTAGGTGGCTCAAACACTGCAGCCAACGGCTTATTATATTGTCCTGTTCGTCTGTCTAGTCAGTGAAAAGTTTCGTGACCTTGATTGTGTCTAGGAGCCTCTTCACCGTGTTACTTTTAGTGAGTTTAGAGATCGAGTCTTCTGGCCCTATCTGTCTGTATCTCCACCAGCGTAAAGCCTCACATTCGCAGATTATGTCGGTGGCGGATTCATCCTTCTCGTCACAAAGTCTGCATATGAGTTCTTCTTGGAGGATGCCCATTATGTGAAGGTGTTTTTTCAGACTACAGTGTCCAGTTATAAATCCAGTTATTAGCCTGATATGATTCCTGTTTAGTTGTAGGATTTCTTCAGTAAGTTTAGGTGATGGTTGTTGTACCATTAGCTTACTGTGTCTGAACTTCGGAAGAGTTTGCCAGTAGGCTTTGTGTTGTCTATACACCCATTGGTTTATTTTTGTTCTTACCGATGATTTTGTGGTGCCAATTGCCGGTTCAGGACCAGTATAACTAGTTGCCGATCTTTCTCTTGCCAGAGCATCTGCTTTTTCATTTCCTTCAATTGCTTCATGCACTGGCACACATTTAAGGGTTACCTTGTTGGCCATACTTAGGTTTTTGAGGCTTTCCAAGCATTCCCAGACAAGTTTGGATTTTATTTCAAAGCTGTTGAGTGCTTTGATCGACGCTTGACTGTCTGAGCAGATAAGGATGTTTTCACCTGTGTATCCCCTCCTTAGGTTTTCTCTCAGACAGGAGTCGATCGCATATATTTCTGCTTGGAATACAGTAGTGTATTCTCCCAGAGGTTGACTGATGTCGCATCTGGGAGTTTGTCCATATATTCTAGCGCCGATTCCAGTTTCCGTTTTGGAGCCATCAGTAAACCAGACAATTTCTTGTTTAGATGTTGCCCCGGTATTTCCTACTGGGACAAACTCGATGGCGAAGGGGTTTTCGAGGGATTTTTTTCGGCATCATATAGTCGCTACCCATGGTTAAAATTGGGTTTGTGATCACTTTGGTGGTAGCCGCATGTCCATTTGGATTTGGGTTCCAGGTTTCGTTCAGCTGGAGCCGATATGCCCCGATGCTAGGCATCCGCTTTGACGATAAGGTCAAGGGTGGGAGGTTTAGGATCGTTTTCATACTTGCCGTTGGTTTGCTTTTCTGTGCACCGGTAATACAAAGACATGCAAGTCTCTGGGTTTTGGCTAGCTCCAGATTTGCTTGTCTTTGGTTTACTTTAGGCCACCATACAAGTGCCCCATATATTATCATTGGTCTTACAACCGCAGTGTATATCCATTGTATAAATGACAGTTTTAGTCCCCATGTTTTCCCAATCGCTCTTTTTAGTGACATCAACGTCATCTTGCTTTTGGTGGTTATCTTTTGGATGTGTTGGTTCCATGTCAGCTTCATATCTAGGATGATGCTTAGAAATTTAGCTTTCCTGCCAAACTCCAAGGTTTTTTGGAATAGACTGGGGGCGATTAAGTCCTCCAGATTTATTTTTCTCGTGAAAGGAATGAGTTTTGTTTTGGAGGGGTTGACCCGAAGTTGCTCCCTCGTGCACTAGTCCTCGATGATTCCTAAGGCGTCCTGCATGAGGTTTGATACCGTTCTGGTAAATCCTTCCCTAATGACAACGACTATGTCATCCGCGTAGCCTAGGGTGAAGTAGCCTTGATCGTTCAGTTTCCTCAGAAGTTCATCCACGACTAGATTCCACAAGAGTGGTGAAAGTACTCCGCCCTGTAAGCATCCTTCTGTCGCGGTTACTTTAATAGAGGTTTCAGCAATAGTCCAGTTTATAGTCCTGTGTTTTAGGATGGACTTGATCCATCTGCATGTGCTATCATTAATCGCATGTTGCCCAGCAGCTCTAACTATGGAGTTGAAAGAGGTGTGGTCCAAGGCTCCTTCTATGTCAAGCAATGCCACTAGTGCGATTTCCTTGTTTTCTAGTGAGTTGTCTACTCTTGTCACCAGTTTGTGTAGGGCTGATTCGCATGATTTACCTGGTTGGAAGGCATGTTGGTTTTGGTGGAGTGGCCTCTGTTTCAGTGAGGTTTCCCTGATGTGCTTTTCAACTAGTTTTTCTGTCACCATTAACATAAAGTATGATAAGCTGATCGGTCTGTATGACCTGGCCTGAGATGGGTCTCTGCCAGGTTTTGGGATAAAGACCGCTTTACTTCTCTCAAGGACCCAGGTATATGGCGTCTTGCCAGGCTGGCTCTGCACAGTCTGCAGAGGTGTGGTGCGACAAGGTCCACCACCTCTTGTAGAAGTGCTGTTATTATTTCATCTGGTTCCGGTGATTTGAAGCTGTCAAATGAGCCTACTGCCCATTTTATGCCATCGTATGTTACCGCTTTTTTAGCAAGTTCCCAGTCCTCCTTTTTCGCTCCATTGCGGAAAGCGGAACGGCTTGATGGGTTTCTGCTATCAGGGTTCACTTCGGTGGAGTCTGGAAAATCGGTTTGAAGAAGTAAACTTAATGTTTCTTCCCCATTTTTGTGAAGTTTCTGTCGGTTCTATCCGACTTAGCTAGAATTTTCTGGAAACGGGCTCTTTCGGAAGTGTTTTCAACTTTGCTGCAGAACTTCTTCCAGGATTCTATTTTTGCTTTCGGATTTCTTTGTTGTATTCCGTAAGGGTTTGCTGATATGCTTCCCAGTTTCCGGTTTTCTTTGCTTTATAAAAAAGCTTTCGTGTCTTTTCCTTGAGCATTTCGAGGTTTGCATTCTACCACTTTTTTTTTAGGGTTGTTGGCCTGGATTCTGAGCAGTTTTCATGATATGAGGTTTGGATGGCTTCCTGCAATTCCAGGCATAGCTCCTCTATATCTGTTCTTGTTTTAACTACCGTTTTAATGTTAATCAGGTTTAGTCTAAGGTCCTGTCGGTATTTCTCCCAGTCAGTATCACGAGGGTTGCTACATACACGCTCTCGTTTATCAATATGTTTGATTTCCATTTGAATATACCTGTGATCCGAGAGATCCGGTTCATCATCTACCCTCCAGTTTTATAATTGAGAGCTTATTCCGAGAGACGCCAGAGTAACATCAATATGTTCTTTCCTATTTTTTGTTAGAAAAGTAGGTTTAGTTCCGCGATTCAGAATATCAAGTTTGTTAGAGATAATGAAGTCAAGTAAGTACTCACCCCGTTGGCTTATGTCGCTACTATTCCATGCGGTGTGATGGGCGTTGGCATCTGCTCCAATGAGAATCGGTAGGTTATTTAGCCCACAGTAATGCACTAATCTCTCCAATTCTGCAGATGGAGGTGGATGAAGATAACATATTAGTTTATAGACATTTGTCGTTAACCTTCAAATGCATTATAAAAGTTGCAAAATTTCTTAATTTCAATAGGAAAAATTGATCTAATAACATTTTTTAGTCACCTCCAAATTTTTCAGGTAATTACATAGGTTTCTAATTTAATTATGTGACAAATTGTCAACGAGATATTTTTAGTGTTGCCAATTCTAAGAAATATTAATTTGCAAATAACTTTCTTAAGAACGGCACCAGATTTTTTATTAAATCATTTTTCTGGGGTTCCTCGAAGGGTCCTCCACCACGTAGTGAAGAGGTTTTACGTTATTTTTTGGACACCCTGTATAACTCGAGATCAGACGAGACCACTTGAGACAAGACGAGACCACCCTCAAGTCTCGTCTCGTCTCGCGGCACCACTATACAAAATAGTATATTTTTTTTAGCATGTAGCGAAAGTTCCCACCAATCTCATCGAGATTCTCGTTTCGCTTATGGCCGGTATCGACAACCGCCAACTCGGATGCTTCACCCTGTACAGTATCGACAACCCGACGAGGAGGGAATTTACGAATCTGCAGACCATGAACGAAGTGGGGCTGGTTGTCAGGATACTCCCGATAGTGAAAGGTAAGCCTCTAGAATAGGTAGGTACCTATACATTTTCAATCAAAATTATTTGTCTAGTTATTTTCATCTCATAAATCAGATATTGCATATCAACTTGTAGGCTAAAATTTTATTACATTTCTTAACGATGAAGCGGCTTATCATGACATAAAACATTAGGAAGTAGTATTGGAAAGATGATGAATATTCCGTAACCATAAGCCAACTAATTTATAATTGTTTGCACTCGTTGACTTCTTCGCCAGTCCAGCCCTTGTGCGGCCGCGAATAAATTTTAAGACATAATAGATTTGTTCTAGACTTTCCAGTACGCACACCCAGTACGTGCTGGACAATATTTTATTTGGAGCGCATCAATAAGTCAAGGTGGCGATTAATAAATGCCTTGATTGATTTCCAAAATTTTAACCTACATCTTAAAACTGCATGCAAGGCTTAATATTTTGCCCGATAGCACTTGCATCATCACCCGTCCATTAAGTGTGTACTACCGTGTAGATTTCCGGTAGTTCTGCCACAATTTTGCTCGTTTTCTAGTGATGAATTTATTCAAGCTCAACAGCAGTTAGCCCGGTGGGCCAGTGAGGACACCGTAAGCGTCGGCGTCCACCCAGGGGTGTCTGGAAGTACCGGAGGCACAACGGCCGGCCTACCTCCGAGAGAGTACTTTCCGTCACCCACCAGTTCGACCAGCGAAGAGCCGCCGAGCATAGCCAGGTAGGTACATATCATCAGCTTTAATTGATTATTTAGTGTACTTAGTGATTCCAAAAAAGGTTGGATTTATTCACATTCTAGTCAGATTTGGTTTCTTTTTACCCATATCGTGGGCCGTAAGGCCAATCAGAATCAAATTCGAAGCGAGACTAGAGGATCGGGATTAAAGGAGATTCGATAATAATAATAATGATATATTGGCTTTTTCGCACCACGCTACCGAAATTAAAACTGAGCCTCAGGTACACCCTTCAACAAAGAACCAAAAAAAATTTCATATGTGGAGAACAAAGACCATCCTCCCCGAACCTGAAAGGTCCTTATACATTAAAAGTCAAATTATGGCAAATGGCAAACCGGTACCTACCCAATTTTCGTTGCGGATCCTACAAGAGAGGCGATTCGATGTGCCTGCGCCTACTCAGTTTATGGTAGGAACTCTAATAAAAACCAGAACTCAGTCAATCGTTTTTAGCAAATCCATACACTATCTCTCAAAAATCTCCTAGAAAATCTCTAACAGGTCGTTGGGAGACGAACATTGCCTCAAGTTTGGCGAAATGGCGACATGTTTTCCATGCCGATCCAGCTACCTACAGAGATCTTTGCGGAGAGATAGTGCTGGTATACAACAAAAGGTACCACCATACTTGACTAAATCTGCGTTGAACTTTCGAAGAAGATAGACCTGGTATTCTGGTAAACTGTTTCAAACTTTCGTTGTGGATCTTACACTGCACTGAGACGGTGCAGGAACACTGAAACGCGTCTGTAGTTGGATCTGCAACGACATCTGGGTGCCGGAACTTCTTCATTTATGACCATTTCGCCCAAGCTTATTCTAAGCATGCATTTATAGGTCCACTTTTCCAATGCTTGCAACTTTTTCCAGTACAGCTTCCGTTAGTGTCTAAAACACTGCGACGTAGGATGTACGGTGAATATACATTTTTTAAGTAACCTATTTCGTAGTTTGTGGTTTAGAAAGCGGTCATAGAACCGCTCTTTTAGGACGAGGAAATTATGATCTGGCTCGCTCGATGCGATGTTTTACCTCCATTATCATGGTCATAGTTTTCCCAGTGAGTACCATAAGCTCAAATATTTGGAGCAGTTTTACGGTGTTAGCTGTTAAATATTTGTTTGATATTTCGTATGTGAGCTACAATATATTTTCCTCGCAAATGTATGTTGTTCGGGTAGAAAGTAGTTGAAGTCTTTCAGCGCTATCAGTGATACGCGACCTACGCGGATCAAGCAAAGTTTTTGTTTGCGTTCTAAGAGGTTACGACTTGGATCTACTTCACAATCTGCGTGTGGCTAAGTTCACCAAAATGTTGCAATGCCACGGATGCGGTGATTTATCGATTCACCGATGCATGCTTATGCCAAAACCTGTTCAATTCAACAACTCTGCTTTTTCTACCGTTCCAACATGGTGCCTACACCAGCTGAATTTAACCGCACGCGGAATGCGCAGACTATAGGAAGTAGGAAGTCACACCGATATTCCTACGGCAGACGAGCAACGTTGTTGGTCGGGACTTTGAACTACTTAATTAGGCGGAGACTATGGGACATAGAATACTTTAGGTTGTTGAAGCAGAACAAAGAACCGCCTTGTGATGTCCCTTTAGGGTCAACCTCATTATTCTAGACGTCTTATGGAAAGAGGGCGAATCACCGATAGCCAATTTTTTTTACGGTTATCCAGTACGATTTTGAATGTTTATTGTGCCGTACCACACCAATTATTTCAAAATCTGACACCAGTTACAAAGCATCAAGTTTATCTTCATATTATCACACAAGTATTTATCTTCTTCTTTCATGGCGTATCCACTAATGGATGTTTGCGATAACATTTTCCATTGCTTCTCTATTCCTTGCGGTGTGTATTAACGACTGCACATATAGAGTAAGAATCAAAGGAGAAGAAGCCAGTGACGACGACATCCAAACCTGCGCGAAACTAGTCGGTTCTCTTTCTCTCTTCCCTTTCTCTTGAGACTGACATCACTAAAAGCCAGTGGCAGGGTGTCGCTTATTTTCATATTCTATAGACACACCACAACGCCAAGGCCAGCGATGAGATTTAAAAATGAGTCCCTGTGCATTTTTCGTCACTGCCTTCTTTTTCTTTGATTTTTACTCTAGCCCTATCCACTGTCTAATATTTCGCAGCCAAGACATTTTCTTTTTTCCGATCCCTCTCCGGCCTTCGATCTTGCCTTCGATCAACAGGTGCAAGAACTGGTATTTCGTGTTTCGAATTATATACCAAATATGCATTTTTTCTCTTTTTAATCAATTCAAACAGTTTACGTTGTTTGTTGACACGTCTTAGGACTTCTTCGTTTGTTAGTCTAGCCGTCCAAGGTATCTTAAGGATTCTGCGATACAGCCACATCTCGAAAGCCTCTAATTTGTTAATTGCAATCACCTTTTATGTTCAACCTTCCATATCGTAAAGAAGCACTGACCAAACGTAGCATTTAATGAATCTGAGTCTTAGGTTAAGGTCAAAATCGGAATAGGTAAGCACTTTCGAAACCTCAAGAATGCCTGTCGAGCTTGTTCAGTGCGACATTTTATTTCCTTTTCTGATGTCCAGTCTTCAAGAAGCCAGACGCCCAAGTACGGGCGTTTATCAACTCTCTCTATGGGCCTTGCGTTAAATGTTATGGTGGAGTTTTCAAACATATTTGAGATTCTAGAGATAATCATAAACTTTTTTTTTTTTTGGTGTTGATATTTAGGCCCATTGATTCGCTCTGTTCTCCTATCTTGTTGACTAGTTGTTGTAGGTCGTGTATGTTATCAGCAATTAAGACCGTATTATCAGCATAGCGGATATTGTTGATCCACAGTCCATTAACTTTGACTCTCATTTCCACGTCTTCCAAAGCCTCCTGGAAAATCGCTTCCGAATATAAGTTGAACAGGAGCGGAGACAGCACACATCCCTGTCGCACCCCTCTTCTAATCTGTATGGTCTTGGATATATTTTTGCCTAATTTGATTTGCGCTGTTTGTTTCCAGTATAGGTTTTCAATGCATCTAATGTCTTTCTGGTCTATATCAAGCTTATTGAGGAGCTGCATTAATTTGTGGTGTTGTACGCGATCGAATGCCTTTTCGTAATCTATAGCCGCGTGCAGATTAGTAAATAAATGCGTTGCGTTGAATTCGGGGTTCGCCACATATTTTTGCGACGCAAATTTGGTATCTTGACCGACATAAATATTTGTGTTGAGCGCCGTGCGTTCTTGCTCAACGCGTGTGTGCCAATTTTATTTCAGTGTACGCGTTGCTTGTTTTTGGTTATATGTTCCGTTCGCGAAAAAATGCGTCCACACTAGAACGATGTTGCGCCGCAAATCCCTTTGATGTCTTGAAAAAAACCGACAACCCGCGGATCGCGTGCGGTGAATGCCGCGAAAATTTTTGCGTGCGTCCGTATGCAGCGAACAGGTCCACACTCGCATAAATTTGTATCGCACACACAAGTTTGTGCCGAATGACACGCACAACGTAAATTTTTACTAATGTGGACGCGGCTTATGAAACATAGGCACACATCCTTTCTCTGATCGTAGCAGTTTTGGACAAGCACTTCTATTGCGACTATCGCTTCTCGTGTATACCTAACCCCTGTCTAAACCTAAATTGCGAGTCGCTTATGTCTTTTTTACATTTCTTGTAAATTCTCTGGTGTATGATTTTAAGAAATATTTTTAAAGTATGGCTCATCAGGTAAATAAGTCTATGATCTTCACATTGCCTTGCATTGATCTTCTTAGGCAGAGATATAAAAGTAGAGCACAACCAATGTTTGGGATAGTGACCTGTCTCATAAGTGGAGTTAAATAATTTATGTACCTACTGCTGTGATGCCTCTTTCATCTAGGAGTTTAATTATTTCTGAAGGGATTTCATCTGGGCCAGCCGCTTTGTTATTTTTTAAATTACGTATGGCACTTTCAATCTGGTCCTTAGTGATCGTTGGGTCGGTTAGAGAGTTTTTGATACCAGCTGCGGGTCTGTCGTCGTCAAAAAGTTCTTCAATATACTTTTCCCAAACATTGTTCTTCTCGTTGCTGTCGACGACTATTTGATTGTTATTATTTATACAAAGCCCATAATTTTCATCATTGGCAAAGAAGATCTGCATCTGGATCTGTTCAATAGCAAACTACAGCAAATAGGGATAACCTAACCCCATCGACGTCGCAACTTAGACTTATCGACATATGTTACCACTTTTTCTCTGATGTTTATGGTTTCCAACGGAAACGGGCACCATAGTTGAACTCTATTCAGGAACATACAGTATCGGCACCAACACGATGAATAATTTTTTGTTTTTTTTATTTATTTTTTTGTTTTTCTATACACACTGTTGGGAATAGAATTTATGAGATTATATTATTATTAGGTATGTGCAAGACGAGACAGGACAATATAAGGCTGACGCCTATTAATATCCTCTCATCTCTACATAAAATAAAGAATTAAATAAGACGACTGAAATACGAATTGGATAATTCCCTCTCGTAATATGCAGCTTCTCTAACTCACTATACCTTGAATTTGGGGTTTTTCTTCTATCAAAAATTATATTGATTTAAAAGGTTTTTTTTCCCCAGGGCGCCAGCACCAGGTCCACCGCACCCTCCACCTCACCCAGACCACGCAACCATCCATCGGCCGAAACGTTACCCCGAGTACAAACACTGATAGTGGGCGATAAGGGGGGCGGAAAAGTATTATCATCAGGCAACCGATTGGCCTTATCCAGGGGAGGAAGAATCCTCGTCCATCGTTATCGAAGAAGACGCGACATATTCGCTATCGAGACCGCCGGTACCGACACAGGCACTCTCCTTACCCCCGCCGCCGCCCGAGTTGCCTTTTAAAAAGGGTGACGACTTTGACGTGGAGGACGAAATATTTACGGTTTCTTGCTTATGAAATGGGTTTAAAATGGTTTAATGTTGATTTCACAAAATAGATTACCTACAAATTGAAAGAAATCATCTATCAAAATGTTAAATGAAAACTCTATAATTTTTTTAGAAAAATCGGTTTTGGCCAAATGCAGCCTAAACCATAATGCCTCATTGCAAAAATCTTATCCCAATATTAAAGTTTGTTACAATAAATGTTTAAACGCAATTATTAGGTGTAGATAGAATTCGAAGTATAAACAATATATGGAGTATAATCCCTAAAAAAGGATTTTTCCTTTGAGGCCGATCAATTCCAAAACTTAATGAGTATCATAAACTCATAAATTATGAAAAATATAATGGGAATTTCAATTTTCGCCAGAACCGATTTTTTTAATTTAAAACGAAAAGGCTGAATCATAAGCCAAGAACTCATTTTGACGTCATCGATCGCCTTCCCTAGCCAATCAAAAATGACGCCCCTCGAACGCCGTAGTGTTGATCAAAATATTTATAAAAAAAAGTGTTGTGTGCCGTCGAACTTATTCTTAGTGGCTGTTAACTAGTTGTTGACTTTCTAAAAACAATTAATAAATAATATTTTATTCGAAAAAAAAAAGCTGTCTATAATACAAATTCTGTGATCGGAAATGTGACAACAGTTTATAGTAGTGATCACGATTTCTACGGAAGCTTGATAAAGGTATTTTTGTTTTTAATGGAATTTGCCATAAATTACAAAGGAGTAATTTATACCTAATTATGTTGAAATTAACCTTAAAGGTATGTATTCAATGCCATTAATACATGTTGATAATATTTTGAGGCTAACTTTTACATAAATTATCAAACGATTTGTATAGCTTTGGCACCAAAACCCACAAACTTTAGCTTTAAAGTAAAGATTATCGCTAATAATATAAATTTGTCTCGTTTACGATCACACAACGCAGCACCCCAACCGTGTATCAGTGGTTGATACATGCATAATTCTAAATTCGTAAAACGGTATATTTGGGTTTTTCACCCGGATTTTACCTTTTAGTTAGTGAGTTTTTGAAGTTATGCGCACCAGATTCAAGTGAGATGTTTTTAGTTTGGCAATGATTTCTAATGTTTTATTGAAAAATTTTATATGCACAGATTTGCCTAAAAAAAATGTTTTCGTAAAAAAAAACTGTATTATCACGGACAAGTTTTCTATTGGCATAATGCCGAACAAAAATTTAAGTTTGTTCAATTATAAGTACCATGATAATAAATTTTTTTTTTTTAATTGTACTTAATCTCACGGAATCAAACACGCTAACGTGAATATCGCTCTTCTTGTAAAAAAAAAATCCGAAAAAGTTGTTTCGGTTAAAAAAAAAAAACGATTTTTTATTGTAGTTTCTAAGCTAGAAAAGTTACCATGTTCCAGATAAAAAATGCAGGACGAACTTGATTGAGTAATTGAGGTTTTTCTAATAAAACATTTTTGTACAGTTTCTTTCGACACCCTTAATAATTTCAAAATTTTTGTACCATTGTTGTATTATACACAAATTTCATTAAGGTAGTGGTTGTTTTCTTTCTCACGAAAGGGTGAATCTGGTGATAATAATTTAGATGGTAATTTTTATTTTTTAATACAATAGATAATTTATAAGGCAAGGTCTCCCAATGTCTATGAAAATTTTACATTTATTAGGAAATTTATTAACATCGCTTAACGTCGATGCATTTAGTGGGATGATTTTGTAATGTTTCAACATATTTTAATTAAAATTACATCTAAATTATTACGATCCTATATAAAAACAAAAATTACAAGTTGGTTCGATCCTGTACTTAGTGATAAAATTATATGAACTTTAGGGCGTGATATCGCCTATTAAAAAAAAAAAGGAATACTTGGTTTCGGAAAAATACGCTAATTATTTTAAATTAGGTCTTCGAAGTTATTATATAGACCACGAACGTTAGGTATTCTTCTATATTTTATTAAAAATTGAAATTCTATGCAATGTTTTTGCCTAATTTAACGTTAAATACTTTAATTTTTGGCATCAATAACCTAAATAATACAATTTATTATAGTATAATATACAGGGTGTTTCATATTGCATTGTAAGACGCAGCTACTATAGACTAAATAAGTCTGTATTAAGTTTTTATTATGTATTGTGAAACATTTATTTTTTATTTTATTTTTTAGATAACACGTTAATTCTAAACTTAAAAAAAAAAAAAAATTCATTTATGATTTTATGCACAAAATAGTTTTCAAATGAAAAAAATATTTTGTTTATAAAGTCAAATTTATTTTTGTTCGGTAAAGAATGTACAGTACCTATAAACAAAGTTGGCGATGGGATACAAAAAATAAAAACAATAAACAAACTAATAATCATCAAAATAAGGCTATATAAAATTTAATACAATTTTAAACAATAAATGTGCACACATTGAAATAAATTATCGAAAAGGAATATTTTGTATTACGTTGTTTAAAGAAGTGAAAAAGTGCCACATGTTCTAGGTGAGAATCCTTTACCATCCACCTATCACGCTGAGGTTAGTGATGTTCTCAAGTTTCGACACAAGATTTGCAAATCAGTTGGTAGAAAAACTTTCTACAACCACGTTTGTATCATTTGTCAAGATGTACAAAATTTCAATAATAATACAAATCTTTTATACGTATGTTTCGTTATTAATAATTCAAAGTCACAGAATCACAGAAATATTGCAAATGTATATATCACCTATTGTGGATGGAAGAAGCTTTTTTGGACTGTAAGGCAACTTCCACAAATGTTTCCATGTATCATCGGCGAAAAAAAATGCTGATGAAATTCTAATCTCAACATAATTATCCCTGACAATCGAAACTTCGGGTTTATTTGTTGTAATCAAACTCTCAAAAAAATTGTTTACATAGGTATAGTGATAGAGTGAATCAAGATAATTAATGCAAGTTGGTTAACAAGAGTACCTACATACATAGAGCTGCGAGCGTGATTTCTTCTTTCCCCTATTTTATTTTTTTATTTTTTGTTTTCTACCCACTGTTTTTCTCAATAAACCCTCCATTAGGCGAGGGATTACAAGTGTGAACTACGTTTCATTTTGCAGTGGCCAATTACAAGCTACAAGCCAAACATGGCATGTGAGTGGGACAGAAACTGTCGATAGTCTACACAATACCTGCTCGGCGTAAAATAGAGAGGAAAAAAGGACGTTTGTGTTTATCGTCTGTGAAAGACAACTGGATAAAATTGTGATCCATACGCCTCAATATACTATAATTTTTCTGCAGAGTACAGAGTACACAATGCGCTCATTGGAAATTGCATCTGGAGTCGTTTCGGACTAATTCTGACCGGCAGTATTGCACTACCACCGTTGCAGATATTTTGTGCCTGACTGTGCTTCTGGTTGGTGTCCTAAATTTGCAGAAGAAGCCAGCTTCTTGAGTCGTATGGTGCAAAACTGAGTAGGGCATTAACAGGGCAGATGTTCTGCTGCTTATTTGCAAAATTTAAGTTATTCTCGGCTTTGCCTATCGTTATTAGGTGATATTTCACTAGACAAAGCCCAGTGAGCGGGCGGCCGATTGTTCTAATGTCTCTTTTGTTCATGTCGAGAAGATATGCACCTTCTAGCTTGCCTCAGATCCCGAGCCGATCTCCAATGAGTTGGCATTTGACTTTTTTCCTACCTGTTCCATTCTTCCCTGAAGTGGCTTTTCATCAGTATACGGAATGACTCTAGGCCTTTGAGAGTTGTGGCTCTTTATTTCGACAGAAAATCTGCTGCCTCGTTGGCATCGATGCGTTGATCCGTTGATGTACTGGTATCCACATCACGGTTACTTCGCTCGTTGTATTCAGTTGATTGGCGATCCTTTTGCATTCCTAAACCAGCTGCGGTGTGCACGTGATAGCTCCTTGAGCCTTTATAGACGCTTAGCTATCTGAGAATGTAAATATGCTCTCTTGCGGTCTCTCTTTCAATGCACAGGTAAGGAAAGATTTAAGTTTGGTCCAAGCCGACTTCCTCCATTAGCTTCGAACCGTGTACACTGTGTACCACAGTGACACATTGTTCGTCTGCCGCAGTTTTATATTATTCCATGACTGGCGGTCCACTGCTACTTCATATGGTTGAAGTACAGTATTGCCGCTATTTGATCTGACGTTTCAATTTGGCACTGTAGCTTTATGCCTCCGTAATGCGTGAGTGACCATTTACATCTTTAGGATTATGTTTTTCTGTCTGTAATAGCCTGTATGCGCATCTACTCTTGCATCTTTTTTTGACGCAAAGGTAAATATGTTCAGTAGTGCCTCTAGGCTGGTGTGGGGTAGGTTGACATAGCCCATGTTAATTCTTGACAAACCAGCTGGTGTCCTTTGTAATTTGTTCTGAGCAGGAGCTTGCTCTTTTTTCGGCTACCAAACCAATAAGGCGTAGCCGTTCATGAGTCTGATTAAAATATACCATTTGTGGTTTTATCCTGCATGTTCTTCTCACGAGTTTGCGGCATGCTCAAATAGCCGCTGTGGCTCGTGAGATTATTTTGTCCAAATGCCTGTTCAAAGTAATAAGTTTGTGATCCATGATGATTCCTTAATACTTTATTTCGAAAAGGAAGTTTTCAGTTAGCGAATTCCCCATGTGTCTGCATTTCTTTTGTCCACCACTTTAGCGCTGCCTTCTGTTCGTTCAGTGGTCAGTGAACCGTGCCCTATACTTTGAGTGGTTGCAATTCGCGGTAGTGAGATCGTTGACTTTTGATTTGAG